TTTCTGCCTCAATAGACTGTAATGTCCTTAAGGATGTATCTTTTAATACTCCTAAAAGCTTAAACCCACATTACACTCACATTTGAATCTTAACTTTATTTATGATCTCAAAACTAAACTTTCTCTTTCTGTCACACTTTCTTGACTTTCTACTTCTGCACATTTACATCGAACATGCATTTGCCTTCACCCTACCCGTAAATTTTTCAGTCCTGCTGCATGATCAGTCCATAATTTCCCTTTCTCTTTCATTTGTTTCCATTTTAGGCTAATCTGTCAGTTTTGCCATTTTATTAATGTTAGACTTCTTTCTTTTCAACTCTTTCTTTTGTAACATTAGTTTACAACAGATGTAAACCTATTCTATCTTCGTCACAATATTAGACATTCTACTAGTTGCAAAAACGACACACAAACACCTATTTGATTCTCGGGGAAAGAGAATCCCAGACAAAGGCAAGCAAAAGTGAAATGACTCAATATATTTGAAAAATTTTATATTATTTTAAAATCTACATTAAGGAATGATTAAAGGTAAAGCTTGAATTTTATAAAGTCAAGATCCAGATCACAAGGGTCTCCTATTCCCTGAGCATGTTACATAAAGAAAGCAAACAGCATAATCCTATTTGGGTTTTCAAAAGCCTCTTTGCAGGAAAAGGTTTGAAGGGGAAAAGCTCAGAAACAGTTTGACGGCTTTGTAGCTATTTGGCTGGTTTTGAAGAAATAATAGAAGCCTGTAATTAGTAGAAGAGAGACTGTAAAGAAAGAGATAAATGGGAAAATTTTAAGGAATAGAATGAAAAGGACTGGTTAATCAATTACAGGTCCTGGGTATTAACAAAAAAGAAGGGATTTAAGTTTTCCAATTTGACTATCCAAATGAATAGTAATTCTAATTAGAAAGGTAGAAAATACAAAAAGAAAAAAATATCAGATTTTTTTTTCTTTTTAAGAGTGTGAGATGATTATAACCTGCTACAACTCGTTAAGTTGGGTCCATCTGCATAGATGCACCAAACAAATGATAGTATCTAGAAATCTGATGGAATAGGCAGCTTCTAAAATGGCTTCCAATAATCTCTGCCTCCTGGTATTGATGTTTTTTGTGATCTCCTGCCCTTGAATGTGGGCTGGACCTAGACTCACTTCTAAAACATAGAAGACTGCAGAAGTGGTGGTATATTAGTTTCCTGTGGCTGCCATAACAAATTACCGCAAACTCGATGACATAAAACAACAGAAATTGATTCTGTCAGAGTTTTGGAGGCCAGAACTGAAATCAAGGTGTTAGAAAGGCTACACTTCCTCTAAAGGCTCATAGGGAAGATTTTGTTCCTTGCCTCTTCCAGTTTCTGGAGGTCTTCAGTTTGTCCTCAACTTGTGTTTGCATCATACTAGTCTTTGCCTCTATCTTCACAGAGTCTTCTTCTCTCAAAAGAACACACGTCCTTAGAGTTAGGGCTCATCTAGTTAATCCAGGATGTTGTACTCAAGATCCTTAGTTTAGTTATACCTTCAAAGATCTTTCCAAATAATGTCACATTCACAAGTACCACAGGTTAGGACTTGAACATTTTTGGGGGCCACCACTCAACTTACTACACACGGGCTGCTGCTGCTTAGCTTTGGTTGTAAAGGAATGTTGTTTCTGTAGTCATGATCACTTTTGCTTTCTCTTGGATTGCTTGTCCCAGGAAAAATTAGTTTCCATATGATGAGGCAGCTGAGTCTTGAAGTGGACTCTTCAGCCCCAGATGAGCTCTGAAATGACTGTAGCTCCAGCTGTTAGTATGACTGGAACATGATGAGAGACCTGGAGCCAGAGGTACCAGCTAAACTGTGTCCATAAACTCTGAGATAACACTTAAGCACTACTTTAAGCTAAGTTTTAATGTGATTTATCATACAGCAGTAGAAGACTGATATGGAGCTCACAAAAATGTCTAAGCTGGGTCAACAATAATTAAGACACGCCATGGAAATGATTCAATTTAGCATTTAAGAAATATTTATGAAGTATCCTCTATAAAACAAACAATTGTGGTGGGTTTTATTTAGATCTAAGTCTATATCTGTAATGATAAATGATGAACCAATCCTCAGGAATCTTACAGTCTCAGGGAATGATAGACCAGACAACAATGCATGGTATGACAGAGGAATGTAAACTAGGTTAAGAGGAAGGTAAACTGGGTTAAAATACATAGCACATAGAAGAAGGATCCCATCCAGGTTCCAAAAGTCAAAGCAGACTTCCTGGAGAAACTGTATTCTTAACTTCCACAAACTAACCTACCTATAACTATAAATTAACAAAGTTCCCTTCCTTTCAACTTTTAAATTTTCAACACAAAATTTAAGGCATCTCTAAGTGGTAAGGACACTTTTCCCGTCCATTACACTCAGATTCCTATAATAAATTTATCTAAGCTTTTAAGGCAAGAACATATATCCACTTCTGCTACTGCTAGAAAGGCTAAACCTAGATTACAGACATAGTGGTTATGAATCTTTACTTCATATTTCATGTTTCCTTGGTGTACCTGGTTTTTATCCTTATTGTACTTGTACTGACATTTTAAGGAAACTCAAATTACCTTTAATAATAAAAAAATGAATCCTCAATTATATAAGGAATTTCAGTGAAAGCTATAAACAAAATACAGTGAGACAGGAGGACTGAAAAATTCTCAATATTCAAAAACAAACATAATTATGGGGCGCCTGGGTGGCTTAGTCGGTTAAGCGTCCGACTTTCACTTAGGTCATGATCTCTCAGTTCGTGGGTTAGAGCCCCGCGTCGGGCTCTGTGCTGACTGCCAGCTCAGAGCCTGGAGCCTGTTTCAGTCTGTGACTCCCTCTCTCTCTGACCCTCCCCTGCTCACGCTGTCTCTCTCTCTGCTAGAAATAAATAAAACATTTAAAAAATAAATAAATAAAAATGTAATTCAGGGGAGCCTAAGTAATACAGTTTGTTGAATGTCTGACTCTTGATTTCAACTCAGATCATGATCCCAGGGGCTTGAGATCAAGCCTCATGTCAGGCTCTGTGCTGAGTGTAGAGCCTCCTTAGGATTCTCTCTCTCCTTCTGCCCATCTCCCCCACTCTTGCTCTCTCCTTTCTCTTGCTCTCTCCCTTAAAATAAAAATTAATTGATTGATTGACTGATTGATTGATTGATTAAAATGTGTTTCAACTGTTACACTATCATGGTGTATTATATTCATTTGCTGATCATGCCAAGTCTTATCCCCTACACGATAAGCTCCTCAGGAATGAAGATTATGTCATCTTTTTTTCTACAGTTCTTCAAGTTCCTCAAGTGCCTGGCAAATAGCATGTGTTTAACAAATGATGAAAATGAAAGCAAAAGTCTATGAATCATTCTTTCTTCCTTTGGGTTTGCTCTCCCTTCATTATTTAGACACACATATCCCTTCTAGATTAAGCTTCTTAAAAGACTACATGGACCATCTTATTCCCCTGCAATTGTTCCCTCATTGTATAATGATGAAATATAAATTCCTAAATATATAAATCCAAATACAGAACATAGTTTCTATCACTCTGCTATATCTACCTTATCTTTCCTATTTCCTGAATATCCCCCATTCTTCCTCAGCTTTGTATCTTAGCTCAAACTTGGCACTCCATTTAAATGTTCACCCACCAAAGTTCTACCTACTCTAAAAAGCACAATTCAACTGGTATCTCATTTGTGAAGGGTTCTTGGCATTTAGTGCATCCTATTTGTGCATAAGGAACTGAAATATGTTTCTCATATTGCCACATTATATTAAAAATAAAAAAGGCAAGAAAACATTCTATACCTTCCTGTCCTGAATGGCTGCCATTACCACCATCATCAATAATAACCAAGTAATCACAGTGCTTAGGCCTAGTACACTAATAAATTTTCAAAAAATAACTAATTGAATAAAATATATTTATTATCATTTATAAATAATGTATTTTAGACAATGTAGAAAAATTACACATATATAATATTCAATTTTCATTTGGGCTTAGTTATCTAAGGGATATATTGGCTAAATCTATGTGAATAGAGGACACTACTGCTTACAAGAAAAATTAAGAATACTGAATTAATTTTGATTTTTTTTTCTTCAACACAAGCTAAGTTTTGTTAGGGAATTTCTTAAAATGAAAAAATTTTAAGTCATGGATCAATAAACGTTTTCAAAAATGTCTACTGAAAACTTTAACTCATTATTACCTTCTGGAGGTAAGTTCAAAAATAATAAAAAGCCTTTAAAATATTATAGCCATTGGGCACCTGGGTGGCTCAGTCGGTTAAGCATCCCACTCTTGACTTTGGCTCAGGTCATGATCTCATAGTTCATGAGCTCAAGCTCTGCATTGGGCTCTGCGCTGACAGCACAGATCCTGCTTGAGATTCTCTATCTCCCTCCCTCTCTCTGCCCCTCCTCTACTCTCTATCAAATAAATAAACTTAAAAATATATATTTAAAAATATATATATTATAGCCATTGAACCAGTGATGCTAATTTTAGTAACTCTACTAATGTAAAATGAGTGATGAACATATCAATTCATCTATAAAGATACCATCTGATAATAAACGCAATCTAAAAAATACTTTAAAATCATTTGTTTATAACAATAGACACAAAAAATATGGAACATTAATTCATATTTTCATAACATAATAGATTTGTTATAAAATAAAGAAATTCAACAAAGATGTATATATTATCCTAACTTTGTTTAAAGGGGGAAACTAACACAAAGAATCAAATGATATAGGGCAAAATGATAACAGGAGTTATTTTTAGAAAAACAGGCTCATTTGTGTTTGTGTGTTTTTTTCTTTTCTTTTTGCTTATGCATTTTACCACTTCCTTTAATAAAACTATCTTTTTCAATATTAGGTACAAAATAAAAACATTTTTTTATAGTTTGAAATCCTTTTTCAAAATGCTGTTAAGTATATAAACAATCACTTATTCTTACCTGAGTATGCTCAAATATAGTTGAAAGAATATGCAGATAGTTTGACGGAATAGTTTCAATCATATAGTTGCCATCTGAATTCTTCAATCACCTTCTCTCCTATGTATGTAAGATGGAATCACATATAACTAAAAATAAAATTAAAATTGGACTTAATAGAATTAATCAATAATTATATTTATATGTATTTTAATTTAGATTATAATATACATTCTAAAATTCTAAGTATGTTTCTTGTGAAAGTTCAGGAAATTTACCTAAAAACAACAACAACAACAACAGCAACAAAAAACAATGGGGGTTGCCTGGGTGGCTCAGTCAGTAAAGCATCCCTTGATTTTGACTAAGGTCTTGATCTCATGGTTTGTGAGTTCGAGCCCCACATAGGGCTCAGCGCTGACAGTGTGGAGCCTGCTTAGGAGTCTCTCTCTCCCTCTCTCTCTCTCTCTCTCTGTCCTTCTCCCGTTCATGTGTGTGTGTGCATGTCTGCATGCTTTCTCACTCTTTCTCTCTTCTCACTCTTTCTCTCTCTCTTACTCTCTCTCTCAAAATAAATAAACTTAAAAAAATAACAATGGTAAAGTGTGTAATTTTTTTTTAAAAGGTAGAGTAACAGATTGCTAGATAAGATAAAATACCCAAATTGCTAGATAATAAGTTAAGTGTTTTAACTCATGAATATGTTACTATCAAAGCGCGGTGCTAGTCGGTTGACAATATACCCCTTTCTCCCTCAGGCTGCACAGCTAGCGCCCCCCCCACCCCCGTCTTCACTTATCTAATTAGATTAACCAAGTGCACACTGTCCGTGATTAAGAAGATGAAACAGAATTTTAGAGAGCACTGTTCTATTTTAACTTTCATTCCCCTTCAACTGCCATGGAGAAGCCTTTAGGTAACTTACCCTTCTATTCATTCTCATACTCTACTAGAACATACATGGCAGCTGATTAAGATTTTTACATTTTTATGCCAAAAGACAAAAGGAAAAAGTCTTTCCAGATGCAAGAGAAATTATACCTTCCTTAATTTGGTCAACAAATGTACCTCTGATATAAATTCAAATACCAGCTAGTATATTCACAGTACAGTATCTCTTCTTGCTAAAACTGTTTTGTTTTGTTTTAGCAAAAATACAGAAACGTATCTCACTCTTTTGTACTGCTTGCCTCCATAACTTTGATACAGATCGTGTAAAGCCAAATCTGTATTTCTGACTTCTTCAAATTATAGACTAAAAACACAACTGAAATACTTTATTTCTGCCTCTCTGTATCTAAGCCATGTGAAAACTCTCAACATTATCTTTTTCCCTCTTAATGGCAATTTTATTTAAAAGTCTGTCTATTCATTGACTCTATTCCTTTTCACTTTCTAATATAATTTTAGAAAGAAAGGATCTTAATTTAGGTAGCCCCAGAGGCAAACTCTGAGGTAATAATTCAAGTAAGTAAGTTTGTTTGAGATGCTAAAGGAATGGGATTATAGACATCTACCACAAAAGACAACAACTGTACAATTAGAATTAAAATATGCAAATATATTTTAAGGCCATATATAGATATTTTATAGTATTAATGAAAAAAAGTATCTACCCAATGATGCTATTATTTATTAAATCATATGGTATTCTCTTATCATTTACTGAATCTTAGGGTACATGTACCTAAGATTGAATGACTACAATTCATTTTTTCTTTCCTTAAAATGTAAAGGCTCCATTATCGCATCCCTCCAACTTTAGAATTCAGCCATAACACAATTAAAAGGTAACCATGAAAATATGTCATGATTTCCAAAGCGACTAACTACATCATTTTTCTCTTTTGTCTTGGGGAGAAGGAAGAAAAGGGGAGGTAAAGTCAGTTCTTTTGTAGTATAATAATTTCTTTATTTTAAGCAAATATGGGCCTTATGAAAATAAGAAACAAATCACCCAAGATAACATAAGTAACCAGACGGCTCAAAAAAAAAATCCCGTTCCAAATTATTATAGCAAAGTAAACATTTTCCTTAAAATGGTTAATTCAATTTAACATCCCCACAGCTTGTATTTCTTTCTATCTCAGATTGACTGAAATCCAGTCTTAGTGTGGAAATGTTTTTCAGCCTAGAATATTTTATGCAATGTGACAGAATAAAAAAGAGCACTAAAATATCCACATCAAAAAAAAAAAGAATGAACTTGTGCCTACTTCTATCTTTCTTCTTGCAAGAAAATGACATATATTCTGAAGTGGATCTATTGTTCCATGTCTGATACGATTAAACTTGTACGGATAAAGAACATTTTAAAATATTCTTGAAAAAAATGAGATGCATTTATGAGTTGTTCTTTTGAACATATTTTTATTTAAAAAAATAAAATCTTGTTCTAATTTGAGTGGTTCTTAAAAATTTAGTATGGACATAATACATTCAACTTTATATTGTTTTGTTACCATTTATTACATAGTGTCATGAAATTTAAAGATGTGTATGAAATTGAGTGAAACGAACCATTTCTTCACCAGAACCTTCATTTTTCCCAACACTATTAATTTAAGAAACTAACATTATTAACAATGCAATGATTAGATGCTTCAATTTGTTCATGCAACATGGTATCTTTAAATATTCCACACACAGTAAAACAAGCCAGTCTAAAACATGCTTCTACTTGTCAACAAATGAAATAGAAACCAACATTGTCATGCTCTTAAAAGTTTTTCAAAATCATTTTGCTACTTATTTTTCTTTTTATAGCTAATCCCAATAATTTAGCAATATCTGAAAATAATTTGCAAAATATTGCATAAACAGAGTTTTCCTGGATATTCATCTTTATCTCCTTTGGGCATCTAAATTCAAAATATACAAAATGAGATCGTTGGCCTGTAACTTTCTTTTTCCTTTGTCCTGTGGTTTTAATTAGGTAAATACTACAACTTTTATTCTAATTGTTCAAGCCAGAAACCTGGCATTATTAATCCCTCTTATTTTCTTTACCCATTGTCAGGAAGCTAAATCAGAATAATTTCAATTCCACTTAATACAAAAGACTCCATTTTGTTTCTTCTCCCAGTGTAGATCACCCCAATCCATCACCAGTCAACCATGATCAGTCCAACAAATAATCTGGCAACATCACCCTCTGGACAAAGTCCAAATGACTTTGCAAGCCTTGGCATTTTAGTTCAGATGCCTTAGAATCTTTTCTTAATGATGTCTTCGCAAACGTTTTCACTCTAATGCCCCAGGCAAAGGGTACAAACATGGTGACTTGGGGTGACTGTGATAGTGACTTAGGGCAATCATTTCTTGTTTATTCCAGTCTTTTTGCTGAGGCAATGGCATACATACAGTCATAATTATACCCCTATGCTCCCAAGAATGTAAAGTTGAAAATTAGTTCATTAAACAAATATTCATTGAGCACCTACTGAATACCCAATTCTCTCAGTCATTAGGGAGAAGAAAATAAATCCATATTCTCCTTTGTATTTGTCAGTTGATAAGGACTATGTTAATGACAAGGTCAAGTGCTGAAGAAACATAGAGAATGTTTAGGAAAGTCCTCCTAAAAAAAAGATGGAATCTGTGAACCTTCAGTTTGGAAGCTGTCCAATGAAGAAGTTGGAGAAGCCACAGTGAGCAGAGGGAACATCATGAGCAATGTAATAGGAATAAGAAAGAACATGCCACCTTCAAGGATAGGCAAATGGTTAGGTATATATGACTTGAAAATAGAATGCTTATAGAATTGTTTTATAAGAAATCTGAGCAGTAAGTAAGGCCCTATCAGGAAGGCTTTAGGATGGAATGTTGTAAAATTTGGATTGTCCCCTAAAGATGTTTGTACGAGTATGATAAAACAGGGAGTGGTACAAGAAGATATGTACTTTAGGAAGATAATATGGCAAAATGCGGCTCTGAGGAGACCATGAAAGAGAGAAAGTGAGACAAATAAATTCCTTCTTAGAAATCTATGAATACTGGGGTTCCTGGGTGGCTCAGTCGATTAAGCCCCATGCTGGGCTCTCTGCTGTCAGCAACGAGCCCACTTTGGATCCTCTGTCCCCCTGTCTCTCTGCCTGTCTCCCCTTCTCTGCCCCTCCCCAACTCATGCTATCTCTCCTTCTCTTAAACTTAAATAAATATTTAAAAAAATTTTAAAAAAGAAATCCATGTATATTTGTTAAATGGTAATGCAAAACAGAAACAGATTTCAGGCAATCATATTTGTAAGATGTAAAACTGGAATGGCGCTTGGGGTTTAATTTATGTAGAAACAGCAAGACCAAGACAACTCTGATCCTGGACTTTCCTATTTTCAGAGATGTCAGTCAGGACCATGAATTCACATCACCTGTTATTGTTGCATTTGCATTTTAAGTTCCCCTATCCTCAGCTCCCATTATGGAAAGAAAAAAGTGACAGAGGATGACACATGACAAACTATTTCAGAATTAATAACAATTTTAAATTTGCCAATTTAAAAACAAATTCAACCTAGTTCTTTCCTCTGCATTTGACACAAAACTTTTAGAGGTGCTTTGAAGCTGTCATCAGTAGGAAATTTTCCTAATTAGAAGAAGTAGGAGAACAATTATCAAGTCATTCACCCTTTATGGTGAAATGAGTGGAACACCCAAGTCAAGTTTCTACGAAACTTTTGGCTATTATATTTTTCAGCATAAATAGGTTAAGGTAGAGCCTTTGTTCCTTTTTAACATTATCTCTTCACAAACTCTGATCTCTCCAATATTAAGACCCCTTTATGGAAAAAAAACACAGCCCAAGAAATGAGATGGATCCAAAATGTGACAACAGGTCACAAGTTAAAAATTCATGACTTGGGGTGCCTGGATGGCTCATTTGGTTGAATGTCCAACTCGTGGTTTTGGCTCGGGTCATGATCACACTGTGGTCATGGGATCAAGCCCCATGTTGAACTTTGTGTTGAGGGTGGAGCCTGCTTGAAATTCTCTCTCTCTTTCTGCCCCCTCCCCAGCTAGTGCTCTCATCCTCTCTCTAAAATTTAAATAAATAATCATGACTTGAGTTAATGAAGGATGTGTGACAGACAGAGTGAAATTCATACCAAGGTAGAAAAACGTTTTTTTAAATGCAATGGGAATTCAAAGAA